TCCCTACAGGAGCTGATTTTTAGCAACGGGACCAAGGAATTCCACTCCTAATGGGCTGGCAACTACGAGAAGGAAGTCTTAAGTCTTTAAGGCAGGGTGACAGTTTGGCTCTTGTGTGAGCCTGTCAGGGTCAACAGCAACAGAGAAAAAGACAAAAGGAAAAAGCAGTACCATAGAAGAAAAAACAGATTCAGCAGGTAAGTGGGCGACACTAATTGAATTGGCATCCATAGTTTGGACGGTTGTGCTACTCCCTCCACCCAAACATTAAACTCAGCTATGGTTTACAAATGAGAGTTTGGAAAAGTAACAAAAATAGAAACAAAAAGGACCAAAATACCACCTCAGGTTATCATAATAGAATGTTTTCTGTGATTGAAATATATGGTGAAAAAGCACAAACTATATTTGGTGAGCAAACTGTTTAGTTCTTAATTTCAAACTGAATTATATATCATACAGAAAGATTTTGACCAAAAAAAAAAAAAAAAAAAAAGGGAAATTTTAACTAAAAGTTTCACTTCCATACTTTAGTTCAGCTATATAGTTTGTTCTGCCTATTTGCAAAACCTGACTACATAGCTGGAGAAAAATCTCACACTTACCCCATCAGGTTATTAGGTAAAGCTCTGGGCTAGAATTCAAGCTTTGTAGACACACATAATCTGACCAGTTATATCACAGGCAGTGGCCTTCTCCTTGAAATCTGTAATGCCTTAGTGCTAGTATACCATTGTTCCCGTCTCATGGAACTGCATTCATTCCTCCCAGTGAGAGAGATGTTGAATGCATAGGGCACAAAAAAGATGAAAAGTTATACAGTGTTTTATAATATTAGCAAACCAATAATACAACATTAGGCATAAAAAAATACTCCCAGAAAAAGAGAAGAGATCATATTTTAAAAACTGATCACTTAACTTCTGTGGGTTCTTAGGACTGTAAGTTAACCTCAGTCCATAAATCTATAGGCAAGCCCTGGCCCTCAGGCTGCAGGGGAGCACATGTATTTAGCTGTGCCAAAACACACACAGCAGGTGACTCTGCCTCTGATGCCAGCAGTATTTAGCAGGATCTTTTCAAAATTACACTAGTATCTAAGAATAACAATAACATATATTATGGCTACAACACAGTTTTATAATATATTTTATATTATATAGTCATATCTATTCGATGGACATTTTAGTCTATTATTACCTTTATTCTTCAAATATGCCTAGAAAAAAATTTAATCATGTTTATAAGTAAAAATATTTAAAAGTTATCAAGTATTGGAAAACATGTTTTTTGGTTACTGTAGGAATGTAAATTAAAATTCCCCAAATACTACAGAAGATATACATATCCATAGTATGTCAAAGAATTTGGGATTCCTTTTTCCCCTTCATCTTTTATTCTGAGGGAAGAGCTAGTGAGCTTCAGTTTTAAGTTATAACCGGTTAGAAAAAAGGAATCTTTTTATTATCTACTAAAATGAAAAATTCTGTTGTTAATGCTTAAGTTTTTAGGTCACTTGGTTTCCTAGATACTTCGATGGAGTCAGCAGTCATTGAGCTAACCCCGACTCCAAGACTGGAGCGTCGTAATGACAGTTCCGAAGCAGAAATCTGACGTAATTCTTTGCGACACAGTTTGACAGGAGTGACACCATAAAGCTGCCCCGCATTTCCCACTGACGGAATCTGGGATGATGGTCGACTGTAAGATTTCGTTAACTGATTTTCATCCATTTCTGTTTTCTCCTCATTGCTTAACAAGTGCCCACTGGGTGGTGGTAAAGAGCTATAAAGTGGAGGTAATTCTGGGCCATCTTCCCACAGCTTCGGAGGGTTCGTTTGTGTTCTCGAACTGCCTGCTGCGCTGTCCGTTTCTCTTTCTCTTTCACCTAACTTCAGACTCTCAGTTCTGGAAGCCCATTTTAATTCTTCTGAAAGTAAGCCTGCTTCTCCTGGGTTCATGACTCCATCTCCAGCAGCATCATCTACAAATAATCCCAAAACCAAAAAATTAGATCACTCCCTCCAAATCAGGTACTACATTTTAATCATTTGTTATGGTTAAAGTTGACCATAACATAAGTACATTTTTACCACTCAATATACATGATGTTCTTCAGCTTTTGTCTTCAGATAACTTCTTTTAGACAAACAGATTTGTGGATGTGAGTTAGTCACTTCCAGGTATCTTGCATGCGAATAATTTGGAACTTTGATTCGTGGAACAGTGATAGAAAATAGCTTCTGTGGATTTTGGTACTTTCTGAAAACACAGAAGTGCTTTAAGTTTCACTGGTATCTTCCCACGCCTGTCCCCTGTTGGGCTTGCTGCTGGTGAATTCCAAATTCTGGCCACATGAAGCCCACACTGGAGAATATTCGTTTTGCCCCATATCTCTAGTGATGTATCTTGTGTGACTGGGCATTATATGTGTCAAAAGCTGCTCTTGGTTGGTACTACCATCACAGGGTGCTGCTGTTTGAATGCATTGGGTCACTGGAAAAATCGTAACGTATATTTCTATGTTTTTCTATGCAAAGATGCATCATGACTTTTCCAATGACCCAATACAACGTAGTGTATCCCACACCCCCCCCCCACCACCAAGATGGAGAGGAGGGCACACTGCTCCTGTGGAGCTGCCCACTGGAATGAGTGGTCAGAGTGAGTAAGGAGATCAAAACTTGAGGTCCTCAAATCACAGATCATCAAAGACAAACATTTGCTTAAGTGATATAGGTACAGACCTCATATGAAGAAAAAAGCCAATATAACATACATTAATACACACTTAGTACATTTTGAGTCCTCAAAAGACAAAGTTTAAAAACAAAATTTGCTGGGCCAGATGGTGATGTAGCACTAAAATACAGTGTAGTGTGAGGCATCACCACGTGGGAAAGTTCTGGATTTCTACCCGGAGACCTCCCTGAGTACACTGCGCATATACATGCCCATGGTCAGGGGCTGACAGGCTGGGGGTGCATGGCAACACCCTGTTGGGGGTACTCTCTCTCTGTCTCTGTCTTTCATGTAGAAAAAATAAAAAAAACTTAAAAAACAAAACAAAACAGAGGTTGCACACTGGCAACTCTCAAGCCAAATCTGGCCCACAGACATGTTTTATTTGGTCTAGTTATGTTAATAATACTTAACTCAAATGTTAAAATTAGAAAGTTTCATATAAAAAATATAGATTCCAGCTTTCCTTAAAAAAAAAAAAAAATCAGATGAGCCCATAATTTCTGCTACTGCATTCGCTGTCACTGACTCTTGCTTCCCCAGCTTCTGTAGGCCTTTTAGTTTGTAATTCGTGGAGCAAGATGTAACTGATTCTCTACTTTTCTTTTTTTTTTTTTTAATAAAAGAGATTTTTGTCATAGGGCTCATGCACTTGCCATAGAGACAGAGAAAGACAGAAAGTGAGAAATCACACCACAATCCCTTCTCCTCCATTCTCCTCTTGGGATTTTGGGCACGCACGCACATACACCCAGAGTGAGTTTTAAGCCACCAGGTCTGGGACTCGAACCGTGGTCAACTATGTGGGAGTCCACTGACATAACCATTATACCATCTGCTGGTCCAGATTCTCTTTTTTTTTTGGAGAGGTTTTTTGGTATAGGGTGTGTGCGCTTGCCATAAAGACAGAGAGACGGAGAGACAGAAAGCGAGAAATCACCCCCCAGGGAAGATGGCCACGCCACAATCCCTTCTCCTCCATTCTCCTCTCGGAATCTTGAGCACGCACACACAGGTGCCTGGCGTGACCACTGGGTCCAGGACTCGAACTGCGGTTGACTACATGGGAGTCCAGCGACATGGCCATTATGCCAACTGCTGGTCCCCCAGATTCCCCAGTTTTTAAAATCCTCTCAAAGACAAAAAATCTGAACTAGCAAATGACATAGATCCTCACACGGAACTGAGAAGAAACAGAGTTAATCATAGGTAGTGACGAACTGGATGTTAATGGATGTTGCTGCACATCAGTCACAGGGGTGAAGTTTTAAAAACCCTGCCGCCCAGTTCGCAGGTAGGCAGACAATAAAACGACTACTATCAAAACCCAATGAACTGAATGCCATGACAGTTATGAATTTACTGGGATACTGATTATTAAGCATAAAATTTTATTTATTTGCTTGCTTGCTATAGAGCATGTGTGTTCACCAAAGAGACAGAGAGAGGGAAAGTGAGAAATCAACCCCCAAGGGGGACGGCCATGCTGCAAACCCTTTTCCATTCTCCTTACGGATTTTGGGCATGCAGGCACACACGGCTAGTGTGATTTTCAAGCCGCTGGGCCCGGGACCCAAAATGCACAGCTTGAGGGATCCAGCGCCTTAACTTACACACCACCTTCTGGCCCACAAAAAAAATTTTTACTAAGCATAAAAGACACTTTAAGGAACTCAGAATTAGATATATTTACATTGCTATATTTTAGAAGTCAGACAAACTTCATTTGTTGCCACCATGTAAGAGTAGCAGTTGAGATAGGCTATATAAGCCAGGGGTCTCCAACCCCGAGTCCGGGACCTGTTGCTGCCCCTCCATCTGGCCACACAGCATGGGTGGCTAGCGAGTAAGTGAGTGAAGCTTTGTCTGTGTTTGCAGCTGCTCCTCATCACTCACATTGCTGCCTGGTCTCTGCCTCCTGTCAGATAAGGGGTGGTTCTGGAGTTTGGTAGGAGCACAAACCCTATTGTGATTGTTTCATTGTATGTTGCAGTGTGGTAATGGTGGAAGAGGGGTGCATGGTGGATGAGTGCATTTGGTCATCCTGTGAACCACCACCTCCAGTCTCCCCCAATCCATGGAAGCAATGTTTTCCATTGGGGGCCACTGGTATAAGCTACATTCCCAATATGATTAAAAATGTATCTTTTTCAAAGAAAGGATGCCATGGTGGTGATGACATAGAACACCTTTTCACAATACTAGAACCACATGAAAAGGCCCTGAGTTTGGTTCCCAGGTCAACCTGAACATGCCAGCTATACCCATAAGGCACCCTGGCTGGCTAGAAGGCTTGGGAGATGATCATGGCAATGGTGAGACCCTGTCAGGGGATCCCTGTCTCTGTCCCTCATGGAAGAAACAAACATTTAAGGAAAAAAAAAAAAAAAAACTAGAAAAAAAAAGGAGGGGGAAGTATGAAAAGGATTATACTAAAATATGAGTAGAAATATAGGTGATTTGTTTTGTTTCTCTTTTTCAGTGACTACACAATACTTTGTAAAGTCAAAAAATAAAAATATTTGAAATATTTATAGGGAAAATAGCCAATTAGCTGAAATAATATCTTCAACTTTTTTTTTTCTATAAGCCATTTAATTTATTGAATTTTGGGGTACTTTGATAAATCATCACTGCATTACAACTGAGCCATTAATTTTGTAGCTTGATCAACATTAACTGGTTCGTTTTCAAGATGCTGACGAGGAATCAGATCTTTCTGCAGAGGTTCAAGAGAAAGGCCTCTTGAAAAGTGTGCAAGTTCTTTTTGTATGTTTACAAAAGCTTTATTGACTCTGTTAACTTTTTCATCATTTGCAATGTTTATCTTATGATTTATAGTAACTGGTTTTGCTTTGTTTTTAGCCTTGAAGTTTTCTTGGCTGGCTATGTGAAATACATTCCTGGACTTCTGACCTCTAAATTTGCTCTTGGCCATTGTCAGACCTCGGACACCGCATGCAGCTCCTCAAGCTCCAGGTGATTCCAACTGCACACACACGGTCCAGGTCTTCAACATTATTATTAAAACTAGACTTCTTGAGTAAGTTGACCATTGTTTTTTTTTGAATGAGATTTTTGCTATAGGGTGTCTGTGCTTGCTGGAGAGACAGAGACAGAAAGCGAGAAATCATCCCCCAGGGGGGATGGCCACATCCTCCATTTTCCTCTTGAGATCTTGGGCATGCATGCACACATGCCTGGCATGAGTTTTAAGCCACTGGGTCCAGGACTCAAACTATGGTCAACTATATGGGAGTCCAGCAATGTAACCGCTATGCCAATTGCTGGTCTTGTAAGTTGACAATTTTACACCACTTAAAGATAATTTAACTTATTTTAGCCTTTTTATATTTAGTTTGTTGAAGAGCAGGATGAGGACCCAAGTTTCTTAAACTGTATCCTACCATACCACACTGTCATTTTACAAGAAATGAAGAGCAGACTTGGCAACCACCAGCCATTTACAGACTAATTTCTGATACCTCAAATTTTAAAGTAGATATTTTTTTCTCTCTTTCTCTCTTTCTTTTTTCCTTTATTTTTTTTGGAGAGGTTTTTGCTATAAGGTGTGTATGCTCACCAGACAGACAGAGACAGAGAGACAGAAAGCAAGAAATCAACCCCCAGGTGGGATGGCCACACTGCAATCCCTTCTCCTCCATTCTCCGAAGTAGATATTTTTAAAAGTAAAATGGGCTTGGGACCAGCAGTTAGCATAATGGCTGTGTTGCTGGACTCCCGTGTAGTTGACCCCATGGTTTGAGTTCTGGACCCAGTGGTTTAAACTGACGCCGGGTGCAAGTGTGTGCGTGCCCAAGGTCCCAAGAGGAGAATGGAGAAGGGATTGTGGCATGGCCATGCCCCTTGGGGGGTGATTTCTCGCTTTCTGTCTCTCTGTCTCTCTCTGTCTTTCTGGCGAGCCCATGCACCCTAGCAAAAAACCCTCTCCAAACAAACAAAAAAAGTAAAATGGGCTTATGTTGTCTGTCTTTTGTTATTTTTTATTCAGTTTGTCAAAGGATGCATGTACTTGCTGGGAGAAGAGAGACACAGAGACGAACAGAGAGGGAAACCGAGAAAGTACCCCCTCCCCCGACCCCCCCTCCATGGAGAATGGTCATGCTGCAATCCCTTCTCCTTAGTTTTTCCCTCCTTTTGGGATTTTGGGGATATATGCATACATGCGCTGTGTGCTTCTCAAGTCCCTGGGTCCAGAACTCGAACGACACAGTTGGCCATGAGGGAGACAGCTATCTTAACCATGTCGTCCCCTCTGTTTCTTGATATCTGGGTGTTTTTTTGTTTTTTGGGTTTTTTTTTTTTTTTGTTTTTTGAGATTTTTTTGTTATAGGGCGCGCACACTCACCAGAAAGAGAGACAGAAAGCGAGAAATCACCCCCCGGGGGGATGGCCACACTGCAATCCCCTCTCCTCTTGGGATCTTGGGGATGCATGCACACACCCCCAGTGTGAGTTTAAGCCATCGGGTCCAGGATTTGAACCATGGTTGACTACATGGGAGTCCAGCGACATAGCCATTATGCCAACTGCTGGTTCCTTAATATCTGTTTTTTTTTTTAAAAATTTGTGGGGCCACTCACACATGGTCAACTGTGGTTTGAGTCCTGGTCCTGGTGGCTTGAAAATCACACTGGGCGCATGTGCATGCGTGCCCAAAATCGTGGGAGGAGAACGGAGAAGGGATTGTGGCATGGCCATCCCACCTGGGGAGTGATTTCTCATTTGCCCTCTTCTCTGTCTCTGGTGAGTGCACACACCTTAAGGCAAAAACACAAATAAATAAATAATAAAAATTTTTTAAATTTTGCAAGTAACAAATAAATAAATATATTCCTAATAGTTTCAGCTCCATCTTGCAGGCAGTATTCCAAGTATATGTTTGAGTTATATCAGTAAACATGACTGTCTTACCTCACCAAGCATCAGGGAGCTTATTAATCTCTGGCAGGATTTACATATCTGTATCATGTCTCTAGCCTAAGATAAATTGATCCTGGAAAACTGAAACAAAAGTCAAAAGATGAAGGACCGTGGACTGTCTTCTAAGTACTTTTTCCGTTAGTGAGTCATTCGGCTTCTCTAAGCTTCATTCCCTCACCTAAAAATGAACTTAGCAGACACTGGTCTATCCTGAGTTTGAGGGTTATATAGGGCTTTTGGCAAAAAATGTCTGTGTATGATAAATACCAAACACAAAGTAGCATTAGAACTACTTTCCTAAAATAATATTGTGTCTTAAATTTTAAAACTATGTCAATTGAGCATCTAATACATTGAACACATATCCACATATCTTTTCACTTTTCACTCATGTAATTTTTCATTGGTTGACTAATATTTTACATCTTTCATGCCTATCTTTAAGCAGTTTTCTTTATAGACACAAAATAAGTGTGTCCCTAAAAGGTTTTAAGGTCAATTTTTCAAAAACCATACATAAATTATTAGATGACTATTCTCTCCAAATGAAAGCTAATTCTTTTATAAAATGTAGACTACCCTATTTTAGAAATACCAATTCCTCTCTTTCTGTCTTTAAAAGGGTATATATTAAATTTTTATTAATTTTTTTAAGATTTGTTTATTTACTTAATTTTATTCATTATTATTTTTTAAGTTTTGCTATAGGACACATGTGCTTACCAAGACAAACAGACAGAGTGAGAAAACAAGCTACCAGGTCTGAGACTCGAACCATAGTCAGCATGTGGGAGTCCAGTGCCTCAGGCTCACCACTTGCTGGCCTCAAAAAGGGTATATTTTAATCAGGGCAACATATCACCTTCATGGCACTTTTTATTTTTGCAAAGTATTTTGTCCTGTTTTATCTCATTTAGGAATAATTCTACATATCCTTGTATAGTTATGCAAGGAAACTTCTTTGTCTCAATGTGTTTTATAATTTTGGATTTTTTATTTTTTTGGAGAGGTTTTTGCTATAGGGCATGTGCACTCACCAGAAAGACAGAGACAGAGAGATAGAAAACGAGAAATCACCCCCCAGGGGGGATGGCCATGCTGCAATCCCTTCTCCTCCATTCTCCTCTTGAGATTTTAGGCACACATGCACACACACCCCATGTGAGTTTAAGCCACTGGGTCTGGGATTCAAACTGCAGTTGACTACATGGGAATCCAGCAACATAGCCATTACACCAAATGCTGGTCCCTACTTTTGTATTTCTAAAAGTCATGATACTTTTATTTTAGAACACAAACATAACTTTTACCTTTACTTTTAATTTTCTCTAATGTACATTTTTTGTATGTGATAATCAGAAGGCTTAATTTACTATAAAAATTGAAAAACAACAGCTATTTTAGATTACTGGGTTATTCTTTATATATATGATCAGTTATTTAATTAGGTTCTTGGCAAAAAATCTAGAACACCAATTTGTGAGGATAAACCGCATTTGTAAGGGCAAACATGGATCACAGGTAGCTGTGGAGCTGAGGAACAGCTTTGATTTTTGGCAAAGTTTGCGAGTCCACAGCTTTCAGATCAACCTTGCACTGCTCCGAAATCTCATATTTCTCCTTCTCTGTGTTGAAGATCTCACCTTCCTGGTGTCTGGGCTTCTGCAGTTTCTTTTTCTTGAAGTAAGCATTGGTTAGGTGTCTTGGGATTTTTACTTAGCTAATACCAATTTTCATGAAGGTGGCAATGACAAATTTCTGGTGTGTTCTTCTCAGTGGAACTCAATTGAGAACCAGTGGTCCAGTTACAAGTAACAAGCCACGGCTCAGCTGCTTCAGGAAAACCACTCTCTTGCCTCTGTGGTGTCCAGTGAGGATGATCAGAATGGTCCCAGGAGTGATGCTGGCTCGCAGCTTTCTCACATGCTGATTGAAGGGTTTTTTTGCTGTGGCTCAACAGCTTTTTTTTTTTTTTTTTTGGAGAGGTTTTTGCTTTAGGGCACATGCGCTCGCCAGGACAGAGAGACAGAAAGCAAGAAATCACCCCCCAGGGGGGATGGCCACGCTGCAATCCCTTCTCCTCCATCCTCCTCTTGAGATCTTGGGCATGCACACACACGCACCCAGCGTAAATTTAAGCCACCAGGTCCAGGACTTGAACCGCGGTCGACTACATGGGAGTCCAGTGACATAGCCATTACGCTAACTGCTGGTGCCCCATGGCTCAACAGCTTTTGAGGTCCATCTTCAGTAGGATAATACCTAGGCACTTTGCGCAGTTTAACCACCTAGGTACCACCATTCTTGTCTCCACCAACTGGTTTTGTGACAGTCGTGAGAACCTTCTTTTTATTTTCGATCCTGGATTTAGTGGCCGAGTATTTCCTCCTGTACATGGCCTTCCTGGAATATACGGCAGACCAGGAGTATTGGCTGATGCCAGGGACTAGAACCAGGTTTTGGCTGCAATGGGGCTTCCCGAATTTCTTGGGCTTTTTAGCCTTGGGGTCACCCTTTTTAACTTTGCCACTGGCATCAGCCTTCTTGGCTTCAGGTTTCTTCTCCTTAGTATCCTGCTTCGCAGCTTTTTCACCTGCCATCTTGTATAGTGGGAAAAGCAATTACTGGGTTATTTTGAGGACTAAATGAATTAAGGACTGTAAAAGCCCACAGTACAAGGTAGGCAATCAATAAGTGACATTTCCTTCACATATATACATTTGTTCATTCATTCATCACTCATTCATTCATTCACTTCTCATGTGGTTCTCTTACACATAGACCTGACAACTATTTTTGCCTACAAAGTTTAATGTCTATTCCTAAATAACCCAGTCATTTGGGAAAGGCTACAGTTCAGATCAGGCACAGCTAAACTAAATACTAGAGAAACAGTTTAGCATGATGATAACAGTAAAAGTCTTACATTCAGATGGTGCTTGTTGTCTCCGAATTGTTTCTCCTACCAGTTCCTTAAGTTTCTTCTTAAGATCCCTGCTTGTTTTCTTGTAGAAATAAAGATCTTTTTCCAACTGTTGAATTTTATCTTCATATGTTTTTAAAGTTCCTATAATGCCTTCTCCATC